TCAAAGCCGTCCCCGGAGCCCCCCCCAGGACCCTTCCCATTTTTTCTGGCCGCGTCCAATCTGAAGGGAAGGGGCCCTGGGACACACAAATACTTTGTGTCCCTCAATAGTTTTGGGGCCCCGGACTACAGGTACCCCCCGGACTACCAAGTACCCCTCCCCCGGACTACAGGTACCCCCTCCCCGGACTACAGGTACCCCCACCCGGACTACAGGTATACCCCCCCCCCCGACTACAAGTACCTCCCCCCGGACTACAGGTACCCCCCCCGGACTACAGGTACCCCCCTAGCCCCCGGAACTACAAACCCCCCCGCGTTCGCTACGTAGTCTCTGGAAGCCAAAGCGGCCCGCCAAGATGCGTCCGCACATTTTCACTTAGGCGTGCTAAGAAATTCGCCATCGTTGGGCCAACGGTCGGGGCTGAGCACTCTCGACGGACGAGTGGGCACGGAAACGAGACGATAACGAGGAAGGGAACGGTATATCTACAAAGAAACAGAAACATAAGCAGGGGAACGGACGAACAAAGAGAGAGAGAGAGAGAGAGAGATAGGAAGAGAAACACAACAGACACATAATGATTGTCGGAATGACGGGAAGAGAGAAAAGGAAGGAGCATAAGTAGGGAAAACGATGGCGGGGGGACGGCGAGATAGTGAGCAACAGAAAGGAGGGGCGGATAGATGGGAAACAGTGCACAGAGAACGGGAGAGGGATAGAGAGGGATAACAGAGAGAGAGAGAGGGAGACAGAGAGCGAAAGGGAGAGACGGACAGAAGGAAAGAGAGAGACTGAATACAGGGAGTGGGACGGGAGGAGGAAGATAAAAAGCAAAATTGAGAGATACTTAGTAGAGACAGGATATATATATGTATATATATATATACATAGAGAGGAAACAAAAAAGAGACAGAGTGAGTCTGTGCGTGCGTGCGCGCGTGCGTGTGAGTCTGTGCGTGCATGCGCGCGTGCGCGCGGGCGTGTCGTGTGCAGCGATGCGCGTGAGGTCCCGCGCGCGTAAGTACTAAACACCCGCGTGCGTGGAACCACGCGTGCTTTGAGGCATGACCATATGCCCCCCCCTCGGACTACAAATACCCCCATGCGTGCGCGCCCCCCCCGGACTACAGGTACCTCCCCCCCCGGACTACAGGTACTACAGTACCCCCCCCTACACCCCCCCCTACAGGTACCCCCCCCGGACAACAAGTACCCCCCCCCCCCGGACTGCAGGACCCCCCCCCCCCGTACTACAGGTACCCCCAAAATTATTGAGGGACACAGAGTAAGTACACACACATGAAAAGATGCCCTATATTTTTCCATATTTTCTGGGTTTTTGTCTACCCCCCCACTTCCCATATTTTCGCATATTTTCTCTGGAATCGACGATTAATCGTGTCTGTGTGTTTTTCCCCCCTCCAGACAATCGTGGCGACGAGGGCCCTCTCCCCCCCCCCTCTCTCGCCGGAGCGCAGGTGCTGGGCCGCCGCCACCTCCGCCCCTGCCGGGCGACCCCTCCCGAGGCCCAAGCCGGGGGCACTTCGCCCGCAGGCCTGTGGAGGCTTCGAGGGCTGCAGCCGCCAGGGGGCCATCAGGGCAGGGCTAGGGGGCCACATGCGCACGCCGCGGCTCCAGGCACGCCGAGCGGCAACTGCACCCTCTCGCCGTGGCCGCGCCTCTGCCTCGGCAGGACAGAGCGCAGGATTGCAGATGGCGGGCCTGCACTGCCCCCTTAGGGGGCCACATGCGAACCCGACCCCTACCCCCACGATTTCTGAGGGGGAGGGGTGGGGTTCACTTCGCTCGGGAGCTCCCGAACGAAGTGAACCCCACCCTCCCCCTCAGAAATCGTGGGGGTAGGGGTAGGGTTCGCATGTGGCCCCCTAAGGGGGCAGTGCAGGCCCGCCATCTGCAATCCTGCGCTCTGTCCTGCCTCGCTGGCCCCCGGCCCGGCTGCAAGGCCCGGGCCCCGTGGGGGCCCACGCTGCGCAAGGGCCACGACGCCGGACGCTCCGGTCTCCGCAGCCTGCCTCCCAAGCCGCCTCGCGGGGCGCCTGAGGCCCGCAGCCCCTCTGCGACGCTGCGGCACCTTCCCCCCTTGCAGCCGAGACGTGACCAGGAGAGCGCCCAGACGTGCCCGAGTCGTGAGCAAAGCATTGCGACAGAGCAGGCTTGACACTGCTCGGCCTCCGGGGGCCCTCGCCGGGCCCCGGGCGCCGTCAAGAAGCAGCCCGGAATCAAAAACTGGCCGTGGGGAAAGGGTCGGGACTCCTGGAGGGACCGCGCACTGGAAACGATCAGCTCGAAGCCTCCCCACACACAGGATCCCCGACGTCGTGATTCTTCCCAAACATCGACCCCCCAAAGGCCTGGACCCTTTCCCCGGAACCGGTGTTTCGTCCTGAATTGTTTTCGGACGGTCCGGAAGCCTGGTGCCCTTGGAGGCCGAACATAGCGCAAAACCTCCCGTCGTGCTGTTTGCGCATCACAGGGAGGTCTGGGCGGGGAAAGGTTCGGGACTCCTGGAGGGATCCCGCACTGGACAAAAATCAGCCCTGCAGGCCTCCTACAGGGGGGTCCATCACTCGCCATCGCTTGGACGTCCATTCCCTGTTTTTTTTCAGTTTCGTGCGTGGTTTTTTTCGCCAAATGATCAAGGATGCTCCTCGATGCTCCTCGCCGAGGAAAAAATGCACACGTCCGAGCGATGCCAAGATCATGCGAGGCCCCCTTAAGCAGAGGGCCCAGGGCCCCGGGAGGCTGTCCGTGCCGAGGGCGCCTCCCAACAAAGGGCGGAGGGCCTCGGCACGGAGAGCACCAGGGCATATAGTGGGTTTGTTCTCCACCGCCACCACCAGAAGTAGGAGGGGAAGGGGGGGTCCTCCTCCTTCTCCTCCTCCTCCTCCGCCTCCTCCTCCTCCTCCTCCTCTTCGTCCTCCTCCTCGTCCTCCATCTCCTTCCCCCTCCAACTTATGGTGGTGGTGGTGGTGGTGGAAAACAAGGGTCACACCTGGCCGCCGTGCCGGGTGCACCCACGACTGCGCGAGCCCACGCACACCTGGCCAGGCATGCTCGCGCCGTCGAGAGAAGAGAGAGCAACAAAAGAACGCGATGGGAAATGTTTGGGACGTCTTGGGCCTCTGGGTGCCCTCACCGGGCCCTGGGGACTGTCAAGAACGACTCGGGATGAACAACCAGCACTGGGGAAGTGGTCGGGACTCCTGGGGGTCCCGTACTGACAGCAGGCAAGGCATCGTCAAGATCACCCCGGCGTTGGTTTCTAACACCGCGTGGATCGTTCAACCTTGAACGATCGGCGGATTTTCGATCGCCCGATCGTTCCATGTAGGCCGATTCTGGGCCACTGGCGGCGTTCAACCTTGAACGCCCGCGGCGGGGTCGCCGCTGGTCGACACGACGCGAACCTACCGTAACCATTGAGACTCTGCCATCATAGAGGCCCCCCTTCCGCACAAAATGTAACCACTCGGGCCTCCTGGACCGCACGGTCGCCCCTAGATGAGCCCTCCGGGCCTCCCGGACGCCCCAGCCAAGCCTTGCAGACGGGCCCTGGCAGTCAAGAGCCCAGGCGCTGCCTAGTCGCCAAAAACATGTACATTGGCGGCCGCCAGGGGCGATCCACAATGCTGCCAGAAGCGCGCGAGAGCCTGAGTCTGTCCAGCAAGACCAGACACCTGTCACCGTATAAGATTCCCTAGGTTCTTGGCTCAAGGTAGCTCCAAGGGGGCCTCCTCCGAGGAGCCGAATATAGCCTGAGAGGTCACCAAGCCAGTCAAGAAAAAGAGCCTGGCAGGCCACCAGAAGAAAGCTCCAACTCGGGGGGGTTATCAAAATGATCCTGGATGGCCTCCAAGACAATCGCAAGACGGCCCAAGAACCCTCCTCACATCCAGAGGGCGGAGGAGGAGGAGAAGGAGGAGAATGAGGAGTGGGAGGAGACGAAGGATGAAGGAGGGAGGGATAGATAGTATGAGGGGGCAGAGAAAAAGAAGAGGACGATGCGGAAATACGCTATCGACGCGAGTTGCCTAATCTCAAGTCGGCCGTTCGCTGCCACTTGGCTGCCAAACTTGCGGGAGTCCTGTGCAGTACCAGCCTGTGCGCGATTGAGCACTCCCCTCTGCTCGACTGCCTACTGTGCCGCCCGTTGTTTTATTAGCGCCCTGTGGCAATCGTCTGTATTCACCAACTACACGTCGGTCGGAAGAAGTAGGTAGAAACATGAAGTAGGAAGGCGGATAAAGTGGATTGGGTCCAGGCCCTCCCAGAGAATAACAACACACAGCAAAAGCGCGTCGATTCTTGAAGTAGGGAGGCGCTTGAAGTAGATTGGGATCTGGGGGTCCAAAAATACCTACTTTCAACGACCGGCGTGTGAGCATCGGATCATGTTTCAAGACAGCCCAAGAGGCCACACAATAGCACCATCGCTGCCCCAAACATAATCCCAAGCTTCCCCTCCCGAGGCCCGAACATGTTGCCAACGTCGCGGAACAGTATTGAACAAGGTCGCGAGATGGCGCCAGAACGCCTCCAGGAGGCCCCCAGAGGCTGCAGAGTCGCTCTAAGATCCCCCAATATTCCACGAGGTATCCCCCAGAGGCCCAAAGGTGCACCCCAGCGGGCCCAAAGATGTCCACGTTTTGATTGACAGAATGGCCCAGTAAGCTTCCAGTACGACTGCCCCAAGCCGACGATCCAACAGAGAAGGCGGGCTGGGTGGTGGAGGGCGAAGCCCTCTAGGCACACGCAAGACACACACAAAATGGAACGCCGTATGAGAAATGCAGCGCTCGTGGCCAACACTAGCACGGGCAAGCTGATGGCGCACGCTTTGAACACACACGCACACGCACAAACACGAACACGCACACACACAGACACACACCCACACACTCATATACACACACACACACGCACAATCACACACACGCACGCACGCGCGCACCGAATGGAAATCAAAGGATGCGGGCCTTCATACAAAGCGTGTAGTCCTCGCAGACACTGCATTCGAAGTATCTCTTGCCACCAGGAATAGCACGCTGGCAGCCGTCGCACAAGAACCACAACTGGCGAATTCCCCAGGGAGACGGAGCGGCAAGTGTAACGTTAAAGAACTATTCCAAAACATGCTGGGTACAGAGCTGTGGAAGCGAAAAGCAATTGCGCTGGAGCTGGAGGTGGGGCGTGGGTTGGTGGGCAGTAAGGATCGAATCGAGACGTGCATGCAGGATGAATGAAGGAGGGTCAAGCTGCATAATTCTCGACGGAAATGCGAAAGAAGGAAAGGTACCCGACGACTCCAGAGACTCATGCCGCGCAATGAGTTGCACCTCTGTCGGATTCCTGAACCTGCAACCGCATTGCACGATTCTACCGTCGAAGATGCCGCTCGTGGCATGCTGCCGTATGCTCCCCATACACGAGCACAGATACATCACTCATGCATGCGTAGACACAGGCGCAACTAACATTATCCAAGAGCCTGTTATTCGCTGGAACTGGCGCCTAACCCACGAATTCATTACTACTTTCATTGGCAACGATGCCCCCGATACGTGTGAACAACCCCCTGACACTGCAATCCCCTGACTCCTCTGACTGCTTGGTTACGTGAAGTACCCATCTCCCCTGACGCCTCAATGTGACCCAACTACGCAATTCGGGCTTACTTCTGCAATAACTCCATGATTCTGGGATCTCCTAAGATCCTCGACGACGCCCCCCCCCAGCAATCATCAAGGATTAGTCGGATAATTTCTGTCGCGCGCAAACATCAATGTCAAAATGTCGCTTTCAACAGCTTTGGACGACCTCGAGCATCCTCAACACCAGCGCCTCACAACACAACACATTGAATCCATGTATCGGAAACATAAGCCTTCCAACACCGGCGCCCGCCAATCTTAGTCACTTCAACTTCCGGCCTTCGCGGAGCCCCTTGATTAGATAATCAAAAGCACGAGTTGTCTCGTCCAAGTTGTATCCTCCTTCTTGCACGAACATTATTTGCTCTTTTCGTCCCGCCAGAACAAGCCCAACAGTGTGAAAATGAGCAGGGAGCATCTGGAAGCCAAGTTTGGCCAAGCCATCCTGCTGCAAAGTGTCAAAACCCAACGCGACGATCACGATGTCCAAACATGACCTGTTCCACGAGTCCAACGTCTCCACGATTTTCTGAAGCAAGCGCTCTGCGGATACCTTCCGATTCCTGTCCAACTTCAGAGCAGCTCCATTGGCCCCTAGACTATAGCAGTTGTAGAATTGCCCACCCGAGTGGATGGATACATACTTGTTGAACAGGCCCTTGTGGCGCTCCAGAAACTGCTGCGTCCCATCACCAGGGTGAACATCGATATCGAGGACCCCCAATTTCAATTGTGGGCGCTTTCGTTTCAGCAAACTCGCTGCCACCGCGACGTTATTGATAGAACAGAAACCTGCCACACGCGATGGCCCCGCATGATGTCCAGGGTACGTGTTGATCGCCATCACATCATGCGTGTTGTGCCTCAGCAGCTGTTGCACCGCTGCCTTGATCACACCGATGTCGCACTCCAAATCTTCCTGCAACTGTTCCAGTTGACCCTCGTTGAAATCAGACTCCATGATAGGCGTGTCAGACTCGGGCGCCATGACGCTCCAAACTTTCATGCCTTCGATCTGTTTGTTCCGTTTGTAAGTGAACAATTTGGGACGTCGAAGCACTTCAATAACGTTATTTTCGTAGATACAACCAATCTCAGACAGCGGTTCACACATCGAAACTACGCATTCCATCTTCACATGTTCTTTCGTTTCGGCCTTGCCCATCCGCATCACTGTCTGTATCTTTTTGTTTCTCCTCACGGGGTGAAACCGGAACGATAGGCTGGACCGCATTGTGTCTGACATTCTGCCATTTGTGAAAAGAGGGACTCGTCTGACGTTTTTTCCAGATTTGACCTGAGCACTGGCAGATCTGTCGAAGACGACGACGAGCTTACGAGATCGCGGCTCCTTGGCCCCGCGCGAACGGACCTTCACCATCCGATGTACGGCGCAGCTGATTCAAATCACGTCCGCGAAGCGCGAGAAGGGAGGGAAACTGGAACCGCAAAGCGGAATCTTTGACTCCTGCATATCGCCTCCTGCTTCTCATGAGCGGCAAGTATAGCTCGAGCCCGCATGGCTAATCGGACCCGCATGACCACGAAGTCTCGTGGCCTCTGCTCGCGATTCGTGGTCTCTGGTCGCGGTTCGCGGCTTCTCTGGTCGTGGCTCGTGCCTTCTCTGGTCGCTGTGCGTGGCTTCTCTCTTCGTGGCTTCTCTGTTCGCGGTTCGTGCCTTCTCTGGTCGTGGCTCGTGGCCTCTGGTCTCGGTTCGTGGCCTCCGGCCGGGGCTCGTGGTTTTTGCTCGCGGTTCGTGGCTTCTCTGGCCGTGGCTCGTGGCTTCTCTGGTCGGGGCTCGTGGTCTCGGGCCCATTGGCCCCCAAAGCCCCCGAAACCGCCCAAGAGGCCCCCAAGAGGCCCGCAAGACGGCCCTCGAGGGCCCCAAGGCAGCCCAAGAGGCCCCCCAAGACGGCCCCAGAGATCACCAAGAACCCGCGACTGCCCATGACGGGCCCAAGATGACCCCCGAACGCCAAGATGCCCTCAAGAGGCCCCTATCAGGCCCCAGGAGGACCTCCAGGAGGCCGAAATCCTTGGGTTTCCAGAAGAGCTCGCCTTTCCAGGCGTTCGACGCTCCAACACGGGCACTTAGGCCCCCAAGATCGCCCCAAGACAGCTCCAGAGGCCCGCAGCACGGTCCAGGCAGGCCCGAAGACAGCCCAAAAGGCCCCAAAGACTGTCCCAAGACGGCCCTGCAGACCCGACTGCCCTAAGGCGGGCCCAAAGGCACCTTTGAAGGCCAAGAGGGCCCCGAGAAGCCCCCAGAGGCCCCTGAGAGGTCCCCAAGAAGCCCCAGGAAAACCCCAGGAAGCCCCCAGGAGGCCCAAAGAGAGCCTCAAGGGGCCTATTCGTCTTCCTCCTCCTCCTCCTCCTCCTCCTCCTCCTCCTCCTCCCTCTCCTCCTCCATTATTTTGTTATTGTTCCCAATGCAGCCCCAAGGGGGTCCACAACGGCTGGGGGAGCACATAGTCCATTAGCTTGGCCAAACTTCGGCCCAACACTTGGCCGCATTAGCGTTTCCCAAAGGCAAGCGGCGGCAATTATTTACCCTGGGCGTCTTCGATACTGTACCCCCCGTAGTGTTCGAGAAAGCTGTTGCGAATTACGTCAAATGGCCACGATATTGGGCTACACACATATAGGGCTCCAAATAAACATTCGCAAGGTTCCACCCATGCGGTACATACATTGGGTTGGACATGTTTGGGCTCCACCTAGCAATCTCCACACACGCAGACACAAGCCATATATAGAGTTCAAGCCATGGGGCTGTATCCACACAGAGCTCGACATACATGGGGCTCTCCATTCATAGCGCCCGCACACACGCACACGGGGTTCCACACAGATGCGACTGCACACATAGGGTACTATACAGAGGACCCCTTCCACATCGGACTGCACATACGACGTTCCGCACAAGGTTCGCACGACACGGCCGCTTGGGGATCCGCGCGCCGGCATGACGCACACACTGGATCAGGAACTAAAGGGGCCCCAGGACACACAAATAAATACACACAAATAAAACGATTCCCCATATTTTCCCATATTTTCTGGGTTTCTGTCTTCCCCCCCACTTCCCATATTTTCCCATATTTTCTGGGGAGTGGACGATTAATTGTGTCTGTGTGTTTTTTCCCCTCCTGAGGAACGTCGTCGGCGTTTTGCTGGCAAAAGTGGGGCCTCCATGGCCTGCCGGCCTGACAGCGTCTCCTATAGCTTCGACGCTGGAGCGGGCATACCAAGAGGCCTGATGTGGGCCGCGTTCTTCCGAAGCACGTCGATCGCCTGGGATACCATCTGTTCGACGATCTGCTTCGCTGGCGGCGTATCATTCACTGCTCCAGCGACCTGGCCCATGAGAAGAGCAACCGTTTCCGCTTTGGAGAAGGGCTTGCCGGCCTCCATGTGTTTCTTATAATCGCCGCGGATGGGCAAGATTCCTTTGTCGCAATACGCCTTGATCTCGTCAGGACGCGTTTCGAAATCCTTGACATAAGGCGTGACAAATGTTCGAAGTGGGCGCCCAGAATAGATTAGTGTCTTCGTAGTGTCTGTGACAGAAGCCTTCAGCACATGCTCCACATGCCGCCTGGGCGCTCCCGTTTCTTCGCAAGCAATGATCGGGGAGACGTAAGACTCGGGTACGGGGGACTCGGGTTGGCCTGACGGGGCCACCATAAATCTGACGAGACCCAATTCTGAAATTTGACGCGACCTCCCGCTGCAGACACCCCACGAAAACTGAACCGCCAAAATCCAGGACGCGCTCGTCAAAACATGTCGGCAAACCCGAGTTCCGGATTACTCGAGTCTTACGCCTCCCCGAGATGAAGCGGGTACCAACCCAAACGCCCGAGGCGCCGAGGGAGAGAGCTGCGGCGAGAGACCGGCCGTCGAACATGCCGCCGCCGCCAACAACGATGATGTCCTTGCCCGTGAGCGGCGACCTGCGCCCGGAGCAGGCGTCGACGCACATGGGCAGCAGCACGCTGGTCGCGACCTCGCCAGTGTGTCCGCCGCCCTCGCCGCCCTGGGCGCAGATCATGTCGACGCCCGCATCGAGCGCTTTCAGGACGTGGTTCGGATGGCCCACCATGTTCATGATCGGAATGCCCGCAGCGTGGAGCTTGTCCACCATCGCCCTCGGCGGCACCCCGACTGCGCAGACGAAGAGTGCAGCCTTCTCTTTGACGATGATGTCGGTGAGCTCGTCCAGCTTGCCATGAGTATAGTCATGGTTCGTCTTGCGGGCACTGCCACCAATTTGCGGAATGGCGAGGTCGACGCCGAATGGGGCATTCTTGTCATTCAACAGTTTCTTCATTTCGTCAATTTCTATCTGAAGCATTTTGGGTGTCATTGTGAGCCCACCGATTGTGCCTATGCCACCGGCATTGGTTACAGCCGCCACCAGCTCTGAAGTTGCCACCGCATTCATACCCGCGAGCATCACAGGATACTTGATGCCGAGAAGCTCGGTGAGAGGCGTGTGAATGGTCTCTGTGAACGTCCCCTCCTCATGCTCCTGCTCGATATCAGCGTTTCCGCCAAGCAGGGCATTCAACCCCTCTTCGGAGCCCGAGATCTTTTTCGCCATGCGGTTACCAAACTACCCCGCTGCAGATGACAGGAACGGGTGCTGAGATTGCATCTTTGAAACATGACGGCTTGAGCCAAATTGGCTAGCTCCGGTTGTGGCCAGCTCAGCTGTGTATGTGCCAGCTCCGCTCAAAGCTCGGGCTTGCCGGAAAAAAATGTGGGCATGGGTGCTTTCTGCATTCCAGCACCAGGTAAAACCAGCACAACGGGTTTGGCGCATAAGCCAGCAGCCGATCGCCCGCTCCAGGCGTGGCTGTGGCGATGGGCCCCAAGCATTCCAGCAACAAAGCCGCAAAAAGCTCCCAGACGGAAGCCGCAATCCCGAGCGGACCAAGCTACTGGAACAAATCGAGCACCAGGGGGGCACCCATGCCCCTCGCCGCTCCTCCACAGCGAACTAGAGAAGCAACACCCGGCATACGCGTAAACATCCTGAGGCCTGCGCGGACCTCGACTCTTCTAGAGAAACAGAACACCAACAGTACAGTCGGGGCGTTGACCTAAGGAACCCAAAATAAGGAACGAGGCACCTTTTTTTCCATAAGTTAAATTTCGATTTACGATCGAAAACATAAGGAAAACCTGAGGCAAGCTGCGAAACACTTAAGGAACGCGGAGCCCCTCCCCAACGAAAAGGGTTCCTTCTTCAGGGCCCCGACTGTAACAGCACACCCATCCACGCGTACACTTCTGGAGGCCCGCGTGGAGATCTTACGTCAGTCTGCTCTGGGCTCCGCCTCCACCGGCCCTAAGGCGCGCGGAGCGCACCAGGGGTGGCCCCTCGGCGCCGCCAGGCGGGGACCCAGCTAGGCAAGGATATCCTGGGCTGGGGCCGTTCTTTTGCTTGTCCACGATCTTCTCACTTGTCGGGCGTTTGTTCACGGGGGGGGACATTGCACCAGTCCAGCGCCTCAAAGGGCTTGCGGCGCAGTTCAGGAGCAATTGAAAACCCATTCGGGCCAACTCTCCTGAAATCCTCGATGCCCCACCCATGTATTGTCCCCTCCCCCGCTACCGAGCTTGACTGGCTCCCCAGACATCCGAAATGGTGGCTGCTCACGACGTGGCACGGTTCCGGAGCCATTTCCCGGGACCAGCTTTTCATCCTAGGTTGTGGGTGGCTTGACGGTCCTGGGGCCCGCTGAAGGCCCCGTAGGCGGGTTTCCTTATATTATACATACATATATATATACACACGTAACAGGGTCCATGGGCTCCAGACCACGCTGGCGCTGACCCCACTCGGCGAATGGGCTGCTTACTCAATTTGTAAGTTTTCTGCGATAGCGAAAACTCGAGCTATCCCGGGGGGAGAGGCGGGGGGAGGTGCCAGCCGATAACCCAGCCTTGCCTTTCTGCACGGCACGCGCACGCCCGCGAGCACCAACACTGCGCACCCCCCGTCTTGGACCTGCGCAACCGACAAGGTTGAAGGGGCCCTGGGACACACACACATAAATACACACACAAATGACAGGATTCCCAATATTTTCGAATATGTTCTGGGTTTTTGTATTCCCCCCCACTTCCCATATTTTCCCATGTTTTCTGGGACATCGAGGATTCATGGTGTCTGTGTGTTTCTTTCCCTCCCGAAAGGTCAGGTTATCTAAAGGGAGGGGGGGAAGGCGGGCGGGCGGGCCCGAGGACTCGGATCATAGCCTGGCCCTACAAGAACACCCTTGTGATTACTCCGGAGACCCCGCTCAAAGAATTCGCATTCTTCGGACGCGCGAGGACGATCCAGAGCTATGTGTCCTCCTAGGAAGCGTGTGCCCGACCCGAACACACAGCACAACCATCTTGTCCCACATCGTTTCCCGAGCCGATGGCCAGGAAGCGCCCGCCACGAGGCGTATACTAGAAGACTTATAGGCGCGCGCGTCGCCCCTAGGGGGGCGACGCACCCATAGTATACGCATGTTGGAGCGACGCCGAATTTACGAAAGGGGCCCAAGGAGACACGAACAAATAGACAACATTTTCCTACATTTCTTGGATGTTCGTCTTCCCCATCCACGTCCCATAACTTCCAACATTTTCCTGGGAATCGATGTTTATGTGCCTGTGCCACTTTTTGGAAGCCTCCTGGATGGGGTCCGAAATTGATGGGCTCGCAGGATCGCGCCGCATCGCCAATGCACCGCCGATATTTCGGCGACGCATCGGCGATGCACCAGCGTCGTCGGCGATGAATCGGCGCCGTCGGCGTGAGAAAATCGGGCTCCACATCGAACCGTCTCGCCGATGCATCGGCGATGCGGCGCGATCCTCCGACCCCCACAATCGGACCTAGACCAGAATATTGTCAAGAACATGAGACCCTCCGTCGGCCAAAACAAACATAACATCCGAGGGTGTGTTTCCCCAGGGCGCACAAGAGAATGAAACAACCATGTGGAACATGAGGGTACCCTCCCCGAACCGACCTCGATCTCGTACCTCTGCCCGACTGTACTTGGACCCCGTCGGGGAGGCCTCCCTGACTTTCCCTCACGCCTTGCTTCCTCCGCCGCCTTCCCAGAGCCAGGCCTCCACAGGGCTCTCGCCGCCCCCACATGCCCTTGCCCCCAGACGCCCAGCGCGCCCCTCTTGTTCCATACATGCACGGCCCCCAGGGGCCCCCTGCGAAGGCCTTCTCCTCCTCACTTCCCCCCCGGGCTCGCCGCCGTTTCTCAGACATGGATGCCTGGAGCGCCAAACGAAGGATTGCAAAAAAACCCTGGATTGCAATCCTTCGGGTTTTTTTGCAATCCTTCGGGTTTTTTTGCAATCCTTCGTTTTTTTGCAATCCTTCGGTTTTTTTTGCAATCCTTTTTTGCAGTCCTTCGGCATGGTGGGAAGTGAGTTTTCCCGAGCTCGGACTTTCTGCGAACGCCTGAAGGCTGGCGTCCCCCGGCGCACGGGGCACAGCTCGTCGCCCGAACGTGCATCATCCTGTCTGTGATCAAGTCGGAAGCCCGAAGCTCACCGAGCAATAGGTTGCACACAAGAGCTGCGCAGATACCCATCGGTCGGAAGAAATCGGTAGGAACACGAAGTAGGAAGTCGTTGAAAGTAGATTGGGTGCCCGCCCGCCCCCCAAGGAGGACGGAAAAGGTGAAGCCACTCGATCATTGAAATAGTAAGGCGCTTAATATATATATATATATATATATATATATATATATATATATTGAAACAAAGGAATCCAGAAATACCTACTTTCAACGACCGATGGGTAACCTTTTAGCAACCCGCGCTGGAGGATGGTGCCCGTGAAACAAAAATCGGGACCTTGGGAGGCGGCCAGGGGGCCTGAGCTGCATGGGCCCCGATGTGATTGGCCAGGCGGGGGGGGGGGATGGAGGCATATTCGTTCCGAGCCCGCCCCCAAACCCATCCCGAGGTTGAAACGGATCAGCTTTTCGAGCCGCGCCCGGCCGTGGCGACGATGTGGGGGGCCTTTCTCGTCCTTTCTCTCCCCCCTGCTGGCCGGAGCTAGTGCTGGGCCACCTCGGCCTCCCAGTCGGCTCCAACCTGGACCCCTTCTCCAGGGCCTCCGGCGGGTGGTGATACACGGGGGGTGACCTTCGGGGATGGACAGACCCCCCTTTCGTAAAACGTGGTTTAGTGAAAACGACCTGAGGCCCAAACCTGGCGGGCGCAAGCCTGAAAAACAACGGCCACGGCGCCCTCTCGAGAACCGAACACGGACAATTCACTAATCGACGTGTCACTGTT